TAAATTTTATAGCAGTTGTTAGAGTTTGTATTAAGATTTTTATTGAAGTTATCGAGACTCTGAGACAACGATAATCAGAGACGGAGAAGTGAGAATAAGCTGTATAAACAAACACATCGTTTTTATTTAAAGAATAAAAAGTCTATGAATAATCAGAATCTATTCAAATATCTCCCAAGTTATGCAAAAATATAAGAAAAAATATAGAATCGATAATTCTTATAACAAAACTTTATACACAAGACAAAAGAAACAATTGAACAATCCGCAATTATTGACACCCAATTACATACACATAATACATACATTAAAAATATTATAAAAAATTGAGTTAAGGTAAACGTATCCTCAGTCGTTATTACACATTAAAATAGAAGTAAATTGTTTTTGAAACATTCACTAAAACGTCACCAGACGACTGCGGATTGAAAATAATTCAGTCTGTTGGCTTTTGATCTTTCGCTTAATGAAAAACAAACAAACTTTAACCACCGTGCAAAAAGTAAAATTAACTTGTCATTCGTTTACACTAGCAAGTTGAAATAAAACAACATGTTTTTGGAAAGCAAATATTTTATTATCATTCAATACATATAGTTTAAGGAATCATATAAAAACTATATTATTATTCAAAGTACGACGTGAAAGGTTCTTGCTGAGAGATAAAACCGTGTGATCCCGACTAACATATTTTGTAGTATGCCCAAAACAACAAAGGATGTTTCTTACACTGTGACATGTCTTAACATCAAAGGCATTTATTCCTGTAACGTCTTACTTCGTATCGCGAAGAGTCATTTTCGGTTATGGTCCAACATACAGCGGATTTCATTATAAAATAAATTAACTAAAATGACTTGCATACTTTTTACTTACTCCAATAATCTATATACTTGTACCGATTATTCTGTTTTCCGCTGTCGAAACAATGGTAAAATATGATTATAAAATCGCTATAAGTAAGGGCAACGCTTCAGTCTGAAATATTTACGCAGCTAGTGTTAGTTGCTGATGTTTTTATTGTCGGGTACAAGGCACGTGAGAGAGTTAAGAATCACTTTTATGGGATGTGAGATAAAAGGCATTTTTGTTCTTTAAAAACTTTCGCTAAGGACTTTATATAAATGAATTGATAGAAATATAAGTTACTTAATATAATATATCTAATATTCTTTTTAATGACATTTATTTTTGATTGGCTTTTGTTTGACTTGATCTTAATCAAGTCATTAATTATTGTTATTCATACTATTTTATATTGCTTTTAAATCATTGTTTACGAAACATAGAGTATAGAAAGTGAAATCTTATTTTATCGACCTCAATATTTTTAAATTGATTCTAGAAACAATTTTTATAAATTGCGTCATAAATTTTTCTGTAGTTTTTACAGTTCAGTGGATTTTGTCATTTACAGTTAACATTTGTAATTAATATATATATAAATACTATTCTCTATGAAGACATAAGTTATGAAATTTTAAAATTGTTATTATTTAGCCGTTTCTTTATTACACATTATTATATTATTTTAGCAAATATTTTTTATTACAAGTCAGTTCAGAACAATTGTCTTTGTTTGAAAGGTACGACGTTTTCATTACGTATTTCCTTAAAGACCTAATAAATGGAATCTCGATAAACCGTTACTAAAGGTGTGGTAATCTGGGCTGAACGATGTTTCTGAGAGTTCCATGTTATCGTGGTTATGTGCAATACTTACCCAGACTGGTAAAGATAGGTAACTCACGCCTTAGAAAGCGAGGATAAGAGGAATAGAAATGTTCGTTATGTAAAGATAAACATATTAATATTCACACAATAAATAATTTCAACGTTAAAAGAGTTAAAGGCAAAAGCTTATACCTACAAATATAATGCTTAAATGAACCAATGTTTTTCGTATTATACAAAGCATATTTTATTATTTTAAAAACAAGAATCTCTCGAAGTTTCGGTTAGTTTTTAAAAACCATGATCACAGTTTCTGAAAATATAAGTTTCATTTTAATGAATACTTGCGAAAATCTTAGATTTTATAAAATAAATAGCTTTATAATAACTATATCGCTACAAAAATATTTCATAATTATTTTTATTTTCCTACTCCACAATATTTTAAATATCATATATGAATTTTTCACAACATTTTCATTTCCACAAAAGATTTCAAATTTCAACCACATCAACTCATGAAAAGGAAATTGAAACAAAAATACTTCGAAGTCGTAAAAAAAAAGAATGGGTCTAGTATGCATTTAAAAATATTAAACTTCATATTTTTTTCAATAAAATTATCTGTCATATAAAGTTTTATGTTGTTATAAATGGGACATTTCATGACAGATAGTAAAATTATAAAGTAATAATGATACAACAAATACTTATAACTAGACCCTTTACAAACAAAACCTACTTGTGTTCTTATTGTTTAATCTTAATTTCATTGTATTAATATGGTGTTCTTATTAGCAAATATGAATTACTATACATAATAAATTGCAAGTTTTTTTTAATATAATATGTTTGATAATTGGTATTTTGATTTAATAACTTAAAGTTAGGTCATTGTCTTAAAGTAACATATGTATAGTCACTAGTCAGTGTTAAAGAGATTTCAAAGCATTTTTTTCTATAAATACTACTGGACGTGATTATAGTAAACGTATAATAAGTGTGTTTGTTTATCCGTCCATTACTAAGGTGTCACGTCACATCTATATTTACAGTGAGCGTGTTTACGCTGCATCGAGTCATGCGGCCTGCATATTTTATCGCTCAATGCATATTGAGGCGAACTCATTTGCATAATACGCATTAGCATTTTTGGTCATCGAACGAAACTGTTTATGTGCCTTTGCATTGTACAAATATATTAACTTTATGGCCTGTCTGCATTTGCTGAGATAGGTTAATACATTATTTATAAGACGAATTTCAGAAACAAAGGGGAAATATTTTTTATTGTATGGTACATGAAAATTGATACTATTTATGTTATCGTATTATGACAGATTATTATACAATTATTTGGAACATTTAATATTTTTACTGTGAAGTATTATTGAATGAGTTATATGGTTTTATATCGATAAAAATATAGAAAAAAGTTAAAAATTTTCCTTTATTTTAAGTGACATTTAGAGATCAATTTAAATCGAAAGGCTTATATGTGTGTCACGTAGTAATATGGGTTCTTAATCGGAATTAGTATATATAAATGAACTTTCTTCAGTCTTACAGTTTGTTTGTAAGTTTAGAATCATTGGCAATTTCTGTGCAGCCGATACGGAGTTTAGTAATAAGTAGATGTAACTGGTATTAATGGGTTTAAGATCAAAGTTTAGAAGAGTACTCCATGTTTGCACCTGGGCTTTGCAAACTAAAACCAAGTGCTTTGCTCAAATAAAAGAGAGACGGATATTTGCGACTGCGACAGAAAAACTAAGGTTGTGTTCGTCGTCTAAATACTTTAGTGGCTGGCATTTAAGTTTAAATGGAGTTACAGAACTTAATATTAAAAGTGGAAGGGAATTTTTATTTTGTGCTCGTTCGTTGAAATATACTGGGATTAAAATAATTTTGTTCAAGTGTATATTATTTTTTTTTATTCTAAAAATCGTATTTTGTTCAAGCTAGAGGAACCCTCTGTTATACATGGCTGCAGTCTGAGTTTACTCTTGTCTTAATCATGGGTATCGGGAATCAAAACGCATTTTTTATTTAATAGGCCCTTAGAATGACCCACTTTTAAAATCCATGCGAATTAAAACGATTCCGCATAGATGCATTTCCTAGGATTGCTAGGACAATAGGTCAATTAAGCACGTTGGTATAGGATATACCAACTTGTATAGAATGAATATTTATTGATTATCTGTTATTTCATACCATATAAAGTAGACACAGTATACAACGTAGTACATAACAATATAGACTCTAGTCACTATACTAATTGTTCAGTCAAATGCTTCTAATTCGTGTGTGTCCAATGACCGTCTAGTAATTTGATAGTATATTCCAAAACATAAGCATGTTATAATACATACATTTTAATAAGAAAAATCTTATTTAATATTCGACATTTTATAATTCAATCATCTACCAGCTATCGTGGATTTCAAAGTAATAATGCCTGTAATACGACACGTCCGCGTCATATTTCCATCGTATATTGTGTGTCTAATATGTCATAGATCAAACAATACACAGAATGGTTCAGAGACAATAAAATATTGACATATTCATCATTCCTATCTCAATCTATAGTTCGTTCGTTCTGCTATTTGTCATAATATGTAACGTTTAAAAGCAGACTCATCGGTGCCTGGAGTAGGTATAATTCATAAAGGTAACTTAATCATTAAGTTAGTAACTGAAACTTTCCGTGGAAATCTTACTATGAAAATAATTTTATAAGACCTATTCTAAAAAAAACTAATATATTCCATAAAACGGCTAAAAAAAGATATATGTACATCCAGAAAAATAATTATGTTGAAATATTCATAAGTAATTGTCGACCATCAAAGTATTTTATAACAAATGATCGAAAAAGAAACGTATTATGGTTGAACAACACGAAAAAAATCCACTTTAGGAACTCTGGTAGTGTTAAATGTCTATAATTGAATCTTCATATTTCTGTTTTTGAACAGAACCGTTATTGAAATATGGATCGTATAAAAAAGTATACAAACAATTAATCACCTAACGTTCTTGGCAAGAAGATTTTTTTCTGGGTTCTTATATTATAAATTTATCTTCCGTAATGTTTTCTTTTTCATCTCTCTCATTTTTTAATTTCGTAAGTGAGGGCTAAGGTTCACGTTTTTTTTTTGTCAGATAAATGTTCATCCACTTGTTTAATATTATTGTGAATAATATTGTAACACATTTAATATTATGTATGTAGTAACTTCTACCATAATGTTTCAAGGGAAGTGTATTGTTGACGAAATTATATAACTATCTGCCCCTCTTACAGTTTGAGTTACACAATGGGTCTCAATAAGGGCGCAGCAAAAAGCAATAGCCTTTTTGTGCAACGGCACAAAATCCAAAATTTCATATGCTTGGGTCACAATTCCGTACAGAGCAGCGGGGGTCCAGCATTGTTCCCTGGATCTCACGGTAGTTCAGCCGTATGGAACAGAATCGTACTTCAAATGGAATCGGCTTATACGCTTAGGCTTAATGGTTGGGATTATGCAGCTATGACAATTAATTTTCTGGTTCTACCTCCAGCAAGACAGCTAGTATACGAGAAGCTGGTAGTTAGATAGTCAGGATCTATCACTTTAAAACTATATACATAATTTACAATATGAAAAACTTCAACTTTCAATTCTATTATACTCGTATTCTATTCAAAATAATTTGTTTTAAACATCAATTTTTTTAATCTTGTAGTTTGGCATTATTATTATTTTCACTTTTATGTGTTGCAGAGCTAACATTATTTGTAAGCTAAGTTATCTAAATTACTATTATTATGATGCATAACATATTTTAATTTGATGTTCATTGTAATAATATAATATAGAACTTTTGGTGTAGATTTACAAAATAACAGTAAAATTAGACTGATTTAGATTAAATAACCTACGTCAAATATTAATATTTTAATATCAAAATCGGAGCCATCGTGGGACGACAGATGCGGAACGACAAAATTATTTTTGTACAAAATTATACTTAAGTGATATTGCGGAAGTGATTGAATTTTGATAGTATTGAGGTTTAGATAATTATTACAAATTATAGGATTAAGGAATGAAAGTTATTTAAAGAAATATAATGAAAATATAATAAATAAAAAGTAATTTAATCAGTTGTTTTAGCTATTAGTTTGATTTATTCAAGACACGCTGAGTTAATGAATAAAAACTACGCGTAGGCCCTACTTAGAACTATTAGTTTTTGTTTGATATATTATGTTTGATTGCAATATACTTTTGATTTAAAAATTAAACAGTATGTAATAAAATCACATACCTCAACCCCTACATACACATATTTACATTTATGTTTAATAATGTAGTAAAATAAATTTCAAAAAACTTAATTGTTTTAATGGCAATATTTTTTTGATTAATTAATTATAAGCAATATATAATAGGTCATTCAATCTATTAGATACATAGGTGAGGTAATCGTGATACATAACATATACCTAGCAATATGTATCTATACAGTGGATGCATCAAGTCATTTGATACGGTTCAACAAATCACAGGTCTCGTGAAGACAGATATACAATATCATAATTAGTCCGCGACATAATTGATATTGAAAAACAATAGAGAACGTCATCAAAATAAGAAAATCCCATGTCCGTAATCAAGTAAGCTCATTCTGCAGGCAGGCAGTGCGGTACACGAGAAAATTAAGAATTCGTTCTCATTATATAACAAAAAAAACAAGATCAACTGACAGACACTCTCATCTAGTCTGGCAGTGATAAAGTAATCGAAACGTCACGTAAACTATAAAAAAAGTACCTAACTAATAAAATTGTGTAGTTAGATGTTCAATATAATAATAAAAAAACTTGCTAAACATATGATTGAATAGTTTTAACTTAAATAAATGTTCTAGAAAGGTTAAAAAGTTATCTTTGTTGTACTCATACATCGTGTTTGTGCATATGTTAAAATAATTGTTTGTAATAAATGAAATATTTTTTGCAGAGTGATTTCATAATTTACTATAATATTACGTATCATTCTGTTAACTTGAATAAAATATTAGTCATCATTTTTATTGATGGTCTAAATATTATCACATTATTCACTCATAAAAAATATATTAATTTCAATGTTAAGGTCAATTTTATTGTACAATAACATTCTCACTTGTCTGAGTCTAACAATGTGGAATATATTGAGTACATTCGCAGGTAACACGAGGTGTTTGCTTCGTCAACAACTGGAAGCTCTTTGTTCAAAGCTACAACGGACATGTTAATTATAACGAACTACTAAAAATACAACTCCATACACATTACCTGCAATATACATATAAGCTCAAATAAAATATATATATATATATAGACTTAAAATAGTAAAAATATAATTTAGATTATGAATTGTTTATTTTCATCCTCCCTATCTTTCAAAACATGCAATTTTTTTTATAAAATTTAAAGTAACTGTTACTATTATTGTTGTAAATTTTTATAAAGCAAGATTTTGTTCGATAACGCTATTAATACCATTAAAAATAAGTCTATTTTTATCGATTTTAGTGAATATAATTTTATTGAAAGAGTTGTTCCTTACATTAAAGAGCACAATAAACATAAATGTATCAAATGCATACAGGCATAAAACGGGCAATGACAGCCATTTCCCACATCGCCGTGATGTCGGAAGGCGTGTGTGTACACACTATCACTTGTCGCCTTCTCTATTAATAATAAAGTGACGAACTGTTGGTGGAGACATGGTTTCCAGAGCTCCGGAAATCCCGGATTGAAATTCAGTCGATTTAAATAAATGGAAAGCATTTCCTTTACATTTTATATGAAGTTCTCAATCTTTATTCGGAGATGGAAGTGTTAACATAAGACGTATTTATCGCCGGGCGAGGTTGAGACAGAAAAGGTTAGAGAAAAAGGTTTTGTTATACAAACAGAGAGACAACAAAGTGATCCTGAGAGTGTGTGACATTTCCTTTTGAGGTATTGTTCGTAAAAAATATTATTTTATTTAATAAAATATTTAAATCAAGCTGTGACATCGAATTTCATCGTGAAGTATTATATATAAAATTTTGTTCATCTACATGTGTTAAAAACAATGTAAAGATAAAAGATTTTTTAATTCATTGGTACGCTCTTAAAAATGAACCAATTAATGGGCATCATGTACTTTATTTTGGTCGTTTAGCTGAGAGCGTCACGTCAGCCGTGTATTTACACAGCGTGTTTACACTGCATCGACTGACGCGTCCTACATATTTTAACGGCCACTGCATATTGAGACTTATTTGAATATTACACATGACTTATTGGAATAATTGTCAGTAGTTTTTTTGGCCTTTCCATTAATACGAAGACATTTGACACTTGTAAATAGCTATGAACAGCATTGAATAATATTTTCATCTCATTCTAAATGTAGTCATGTAGTATAAAATTAATAAACAAATGAAAAACGTTTAAATAAATCAAATTGAGTACGAAGAATGAGAATTGAATTTGTTAATGTAGTTTGGTTAGAGCATAAAAAGAAATAGTCATTATCTAAATATGAATGTAATATAAAAAGTTTTTGTTGTATGAATTACTTTTTACCTCGTCGAACTCAGCTAAGGACGGATATTGGCGAGCGTTGGATTAAGGAGGGCTATCGATACTGTGAGATTGGATGAGATTCCTTTGTTCAAAATGGAATTTTCTTGTGTTATATTATAGACGAAACTTTAATTTACAATTTGTGCTCAGTAAAACGGACGCTCGTGAAGACCCACTAATCCTTAGTATTTATGAAGTTTTAAATTTAGTTTTTCTTTTTATTGAGGAATTCGTCATTTGTTAGATGAATTTATTATCAACTCACAAACATACAGACTAAAATATCGTTAGTTACTTTGAATCAAAATAAATGCTACATGCGAGTGTATGAGATATTTTATTTAAAATAACAGTCAGGAGGATTATTTATGTCTTTGCCGATATTAAATTGTCTTTTTATTTCTAGTTTATAACATATGTATGTACAATGTAATCCGTATATTGAGTATTAATAATGTAGAAGTATCGTTAAAAATATGGAAAAGTTCTAATTGGATCCAACTAATCGTTGAATTTACAAAACTAAATGCTGCTGAAATATTGATATGATAATAAAAAACAAATCCTGACGCTAACTAAATTTGCTCCTGCGTTTTATTTGAATACTTATATATTTAAAAAAAATGTTATGTCTTTTAAATTCTTTCATCGACATTTCCATTTTATTAGATGTTTTTTGTTATTATTCATATTTATTTACTATTTTTCTACATATACTAGTCAAAATAAAATAAGGGCCACCATGTTTTTTTAGTGTATTAAAAGAAATATGGGATTTAGGGATATGAAAATGATTAGATTAAATTATTTAATCATTTTTTAATGTAAAGAGCAGCAAATATTGTTTTATTACTCCAAAATTAACATCCCTTTCTTTTTTTTTGGAAAAATCGACTTTTTAACCTAAAATGCACAATATGAAAAAAGTGTCTTATTTTAAAAAAACTGAACATTTGTTGAAATTTTTATTTTTTTCAGTAACGTGTGTCCTCCCCTTTTTTGAACACATTCTTCAAGCCTCGAAGGCATACTCTCCACCAGGTGTCGTCTTGTCTCCTGAGGGATTTGTTCCCAGCTTGTCTTTAACACGTTGAGGAGGTGTCGTTCGTTAGTTACCGGTTGATTTGTGTCACGAACGCTTTTTTTAAATAAATCCCACATATGCTTAATAGGGTTAAGGTTCGGGCTATTGGCGGGCCACGGAAACACATGTAAACTAGCTTCTTCTAGTGCTTCGGCAGTAGCTCTAGCTGTATGAGCGCGGGCATTGTCATGCATTAATTGGAATCCTGCACCAATTCTCTATGAAAATGACATCACGTGGAGTCTTATGACCTGCTCAATGTACCGTTGAGCCGTTATCGTGCCTTCGTTGAGAATTACGAGCTCGGTTCGACCTGATAGTGAGATTCCGCTCCACACCATTACGTTGGGACCCCCGAGTCTGTCACTTTCGTGGATGCAAGCATCCGAAAATCGCTCTCCTTCTCTTCTCCAAACTCTAATGCGACGATTATCACTAAAAAATTTCACTTTGGATTCATCTGTGAACAATACCTTGCTCCAGTATCAATGTTCTAGGCCTGGTGCTGCCTAGTGAACGTTAATCGCCTTGCACGATGTACGGATGTCAGTGGAATTCGCACTACTCGTTGTCTAGAGAACTGTTGGTTTTCATGCAACCGATTCCTAATCGTTTGGTCACTTACGCGGGTGCCCGTCGCTTGTCGCAAGCGGTTTTGTAAGGAACGGGCGGTGACGACTCGCTCTCTGCGCGCAGTTAACCGTATGTAGCGGTCTTCCTGTGCTGTGGTTGCTCGACTCCTGCTTGATCCTGGTCTTCTGGTAACTCTCCCAGTCTCTTGAAACCTAATCCAAGCATTCTGGATTGCTCGCCGTGAAAAACCCAGCTGCAGAGCTACAGAACGCTGCGAATGGCCCTGTTGAGTCAGCGTTATGGCCATAGTTGTGATCTCTATGTCCATA